GCGTCGTCAACCCCTGGCCAAGCTCGTCTTTATAAAGCAAGTGCTACCATTGGGCCGTTGAAGGATTAATCCATGTCCCCGGTGCTGGAGCTGCAGCATGCAGTCGATCTCGTAGCGATTCCTGACGTCAACCATATGGGAAGAGTAGTCGATACACTGTAATGGCGGGACCGTATCTACCTACTTGACAGTCGAGGACGAGGACGGTTGTCGCCCCCGGGGTTGGACGGGGCCGTGCTTCATCGGGGAGGTGTCCATTGGTGGGAGATTCTCGGTATCTGGGGGACTCTACCTACTAGTGGTGTAGTGTACAGCAGGCACGGGATGCTTGCTAGCGTAGGTGGGTAGCTAGGTAGGTAGCTGTCTGTGGAAGAGACGAATTCGACGGTAGCAGAAAACAGAATGTGTGGAATTGTTTGGTTGGAGCAGAGAGAGAGAGAGAGAGATCAGAGATCACGGAGATGGCAGGCACATCGTGATTTCGCCATGTTGATGTCAGAGCCCCAAGTCGCCGCGTCCCAAAGCAGCAACGCGCCCTCCGTCCGTGCCTGCCCGTCCTGCCAGTCGAACGACACGACGGGACTTATGGTCCGGCAAGTGGGTACAACACCGCTTCGTTGGCCAATGGAACACGGGTATCTGGGCCACAACCAGCCACAGGGTGGGTCTCTCACCGAAGCTGCAGGCGGCACGGTACGTACTCTTTTCTCGATTCCAGATGCCCCTCCTCTGGGCAATTGCCCCTCAATGGCCCAAGCTTCTCTGCAAAGTAAAGTACCGTTACTGTGGTAGGTACATCGTATATGTAAGTAACGTAAGGAAGGTACTTGCTCCCCACCTAAGGTACCTAGTGTACAGGTAAGGCCGGCATGCCCTCCACATGGCCATTGGCAACAAGAGGCGCCCCATTCGACAATTTGCAACACTGGTGAGATCATTGCCCGGTAATTCATCGAGATGAGGGCTCTGATTGCCGAAAAGCCCATCTCCTCGGCATCCCATTGTTACACTTTTCACGTCGGAGCCCCCATCCTCTCCTACCTACCTACCTACGTCGTACCTACATAATGGATACCTAGGTACCTCCTCACTCCTGTAGCTTGGTGTGCACCATCGAGATAGAGTTCGAATGACATCGGCATGATCCAAAGTGAACGCAATACCTATCGGCATACGAAGTAGGGATACCTAGGTAAACAAGCCCAACGGTTGGATACTGTTCCCTGTCAAGCCCGACTTTCTACACGCATAGCCTTTTTCTTGACAGGTACAGTACGAACGGTAGGTAGTTTATATTAATTCCCGTCGTTGTAAGGAAACATACTCTTTATAGACGTCAACGTGCTCCAAGTGTTTCTACGGAGCACTACACTGCCTACCCAACCAAGTCAAGCGTCGAAACAACGAGATATTTATCATTTGGCTGATCTTGAAGCAGTGACTGACTGCCATCTTGGAACACCCACCCTCTGCCCCCCCTTCGCCGTTGTTTCCACTTGCGTGCGCGTGTTTTCTGTGCATTTGGCTCTTTTCGGTTGAGCACCGACGTCATAGACTTGCATCAATCGCCGTCACCCGTCAGTCAGTCACCCACTTCAAACGGTCCAGGCTCCGGACTAATCAGCTAGCAGCTAGCAGCTAGCAGCAAGCAGCTTTTCCTTCCTCAGCAGGCAGCCCACCAGTTCGCCGCAGCTTCCGCTTGGCAGATACTGTAGGTAATTCATTCATTCCAAACAGCGTCACACCCTGTTATTCCAATCTCCCAATTCTTATTATCCCCTACCGGCTCATTGCCAGTTGATCAATTACCCTTGTGCTGCGAACCCAACTTCATTAGAGCTGAGCAAAACAAAACTCAGACCACGACCAAGACAACACAACACACGTCCTGTCTTGTATACCATAATCTCAGACAAGGTCAAACGCCAGTGTTGAATCCATCATCATCATCAAAGGCACAAAATCCATCTCGGTAGTCTCCAATATGGCTGGGCAAGTCCTTCGCCAGGCGAACCCGCCGCCTCTGCCCTCTCACTTGCCCGACAACATCCTCGATCTCGTCGTCAAGGCGGAGAAGAAGCCATTGGATGACAAGGATGCAAAGGCCCTGCGCGACTTCCAGAATGCCGCCTGCTATGTCGCTGCTGGTAAGCCGAGCCGAGCCTATCCTGTCCTGTCCTATCCTGTTCCATTTGCCGTTGCATCTGCCGCTCGTTCGCAGCTGACAGCACCTACCTAGCCATGATCTTCCTGCGGGACAACGTCCTCTTAGAGTCAGAACTTAAGCTCGAGCATATCAAACCTCGGTTGCTTGGTAAGCCAACCACGCTTTGATGTGCTCCTTGGAACGGACGGTCGTCTAATATCTGACAACGCTCCAGGTCACTGGGGCACGTGTCCCGGCCTCATCCTGGTGTGGTCCCACCTCAACCGACTGATTCGCAACCATGATATGGACATGATTTATGTCATTGGCCCCGGCCACGGTGCTCCTGCCGCTCTGGCGGCTCTCTGGCTCGAGGGCTCTCTCGAGAAGTTCTACCCTGGCCAGTACGATGTCAGCAAGCAGGGCTTGCACAATCTCATCACTAGGTTCTCCGTCCCAGGGGGCTTCCCTAGGTAAGGAGACCGTTATCTTGCCCAGAAATACTCGTGCACTAATACTGCCTAGCCACATCAACTCCGAGACCCCTGGCTCCATCCACGAGGGTGGCGAGCTTGGCTATGCCTTATCCGTATCGTTCGGCGCCGTCATGGACAACCCAGACCTCATCGTGACCTGCATTGTCGGCGACGGTGAGGCTGAAAGTGGTCCTACTGCTGGGTAAGTCCGCGTGCTCTGACGGTGCGGTGTATCCATCGAGCCATGCTGATAAGTCTCAGTGCCTGGCATGCTATCAAGTATCTCGACCCCAAGGAGTCTGGTGCTGTGATACCTATTCTCCACATCAATGGCTTCAAGATCAGCGAGCGCACCATCTTTGGATGCATGGACGACAAGGAGATCGTCGCCCTGTTCTCCGGCTACGGATACCAGGTGTGCATCGTGGAAGACATCCAAGACATCAACACCGATCTGTCCAGCGCCTTGGAGTGGGCGCTGGCCGAAGTCAAGAAGATCCAAAAGGCTGCTCGCTCCGGGGAAGCCATTGCCAAGCCGCGATGGCCGATGATTGCTCTCCGCACTCCCAAGGCAAGCCCGTCCTAAACAGAGCGTAGGAAACCCAACGTGCTGACTTTTCTAGGGATGGACTGGGCCCAAAGAGGTCGATGGAGTGATTGTCGAGGGCTCTTACAAGTCCCATCAGGTCCCCTTGCCCAAGGCCGGCTCTGACGAAGCCCAGCTGCGAAGCCTGCGCGACTGGCTGTCCAGTTACGACATTGGGAACCTTCTGCCGGGAGGCAAGCCGACCGAGAGCGTTACCGGAGTAATCCCCAAGAACAGCGCCAAGAAGCTCGGTCAGCTCAAGGCCACGTACGACCCATACGTAGGCCTCAAGCTTCCCGACTGGAAGCCGCTTGCGGTCAAGGCGGGTGAGCAGGACAGCTGCATGAAGGTGACGGGCCAGCTGCTCGACAAGGTGATGCAGGAAAACCCCCGCAGCTTTCGCATGTTCTCGCCCGACGAGCTGGAGAGCAACAAGCTCGACGCCGTGCTCGACCACACCGGCCGCAACTTCCAGTGGGACCAATACTCTCGCAACCAGGGCGGCAGGGTTATCGAGATCCTGTCGGAGCACTGCTGCCAGGGCTTCATGCAGGGATACACTCTTACGGGCCGCGTCGGGCTGTTCCCCAGTTACGAGTCCTTCTTGGGCATCGTTCACACGATGATGGTGCAGTATGCCAAGTTTAACAAGATTGCCAAGCAGGTCAAGTGGCGCGGGGATTTGGCGTCCATCAACTACATTGAGACGAGCACGTGGACTCGCCAGGAGCACAATGGGTTCTCGCACCAGAACCCATCCTTTATCGGAGCCGTCCTCAATCTCAAGGCTGAGGCCGCACGGGTAAGCCCCTTTTCCACACCCGACTGGGGCGCATCAGGCTTACGCGCGCACACAATCACAGGTCTACCTACCGCCCGACGCCAATTGCTTCCTCAGCACCGTCCACCACTGCCTCAAGTCCAAGAATTACGTCAACCTTGTTATTGGGTCCAAGCAGCCCACAGCGAACTACCTCGACGCCGACGCAGCCGAGGAGCACTGCCGACGCGGCGCCAGCACGTGGGACTTTGCATCCACCGACGGCGGCGCCAACCCGGACGTTGTGATTGTCGGCGTGGGCGTGGAGGTGACGTTCGAGGTGGTCAAGGCGGCGGAGCTACTGCGCACGCTGATGCCGGAGCTCCGGGTGCGCGTGGTCAACGTCACGGACCTCATGGTTCTTAAGGCGGAGGCCAAGCACCCGCACGCAATGTCGAGAAAGGCGTTCTCGGACATGTTCACCGGAGACCGGGCCGTCCTCTTCAACTACCACGGCTACCCGACGGAGCTGCAGGGCCTGCTGTTCGGACGGCCCGGGCTGGACAGAATCACGGTCGAGGGGTACCGCGAGGAGGGAAGCACGACGACGCCGTTTGACATGATGCTTCTCAACTGCGTCAGCCGATACGACGTTGCGGTGCGGGCGCTGAAGGGAGCCGCCGAGGTGAATGAGAAGGTCAAGGCTGTACTGGACGACAAGATCAAGGAGATCGAGGCCAAGGTGCAAGAGATCCGGGACCATATCATGGAGCATGGCAAAGGTATGCGATTACGCAGGATCCACACATGATACGGAACGACTACTAACAGATGGCAGACCCTGATGACATTTACGACACGGCCAAATTTTAAGCGTTACGACTTATGAGATGAGACAGATACTAGAGATACTAACTAATTAGAATGCCATGTGACCAGAAGTCAAGTAGCCAATAGAAGAAACTCAAACCAAACCAATGGCTTCCCCAAAAGAGCAAAAGATGAAATGAACAGTTGAGCTGTCCGAGGATGTGCCTCGTGGCGGAATCGAACCGCCGATCTTCTCATTACTAGTGAGACGCTTTACCACTGAGCCAACAAGGCAGTATAACCAGGATTGGTACTTTCATCGTGATGGAGAAAACATGAGGCGAGAGTGGGGAGGATGGGAGAAGATTTAGTGAGGTTTATGGTAACTGTTTTCTGATGAAGCCGAGTGAGAGTCGGGTTTTTCCAAGGTGCCGTACCACCGCCGCCGGTCGGGTTTCTAGCCAACACAGGCAGGTAGGAGCGAGTGTTTGCACTGCTTCCTACCTTCCCTTCCCGCCCGTTAGGATATCACAGATGTAATGCACCAGCCAACTACCTAGGTACCTACGTACTTATGTATGTACCTAGGTAGTTAGGTAGGTAGATACCTAAGGTACCTACATAGGTACCCAAGTAATCACGGAGGACAGGCTATTAACAAGATGAATCTGGCATTAATGGCTTATGGTAATCTGTATTTCCCATTTCCCAATGAATGGTACCTTGTAATTGCTGCTGGAATCAACATGGAAGCCTTCATTGCTATTGCAGCTGTACCTACCTACATAGGTACGTACCTTACCTAGTATGTAGATTCACATGGTGTCGCTGTTCCGTGCCCAGCGGTCGCTACTTCCTCACTATCGAATCTGCCGCCGTTTCCACGCACGTGCTAACCAAAATATGCCCCCGAGGTGCTAACCCTGATGTACCTGTACTCTCCCATCCATGCCCACCCCACCCCCACCTCGAAATTTCTCCCCCTTCCCGTCGCAAAACCACCTCGTTGGTCCCCATTCTGACGAACGCCATCCAAACGACGTTGATATCCTAACCCGCCCCCGCGCGCGCGCGAACAAACGCAAAGCGAGCATCGGTCCACCACCACCTCCCCCTCCTTTTTCCCGTTCACGATGGTCTACTACTTCACCTCCAAGGCGGTGGACCCGCCCGCCTTCATCTACGTCGGCAAGGACAAGTTTGAGAGTACGTCGTGTTTCTGTCCGTGGATGACGGCGGGGGAGCGCGCGACACAGCGCCGCGAGGCATGGTCGTTGTGACATGGGCATCCTTCGACAGAACGGATGGATGGACTGACTGACTCCGGGAACAGATGAGGAGCTGATCAAGTATGGCTGGGAGGAGGATGTCTGGTTCGTCTCCCCTTATCCGTCTTCACTCATCGCGAACCCTCACTGACTCTCATCAGGGTATGCTTTCATCTCACTCGCTCACTCGCTCACTCACTCACTCACTCCCTCACTCACTCATGTGTTCATTCATTCATTCACTTGCTTACTCACCCTCTCACTCACACCCGTCACACACTCACCCACTCCCTCATCCTCCCTCACTAACACCCGCAGTTCCACGCCGACAAGCTCTCATCGGCACACATCTACCTCCGCCTCCCCGACCCCAAGGACCCCGCCAATACCTCCCCCATGACGTGGGACGCCATCCCCGAGCCGCTCCTCGTCGACCTTGCCCAGCTCACAAAGGCCAACTCCATCGAGGGCAACAAAAAGGACAACGTCACCGTCATCTACACCCCCTGGTCCAACCTCAAGAAGGACGGCAGCATGGCCGTCGGCCAGGTCTCCTTCAAGGACCCCCGCAAGGTCAAGAAGATCCTCGTGCCCCAGCGCGAGAACCCCATCGTCAACCGCCTCAACAAGACAAAGGTCGAGAAGAAGCCCGACCTCCAGCAGGAGAGGGAAGACAGGCTCAGGGAGCTGAGGAAGAGGGACCAGGCCGCCGTTCTCGAGAGGGTACGATTTTTCCCCCATGTTCTTTTCGCTTCTTCTGTCCTTTTAACTCTCCCCTCGTCTGGTTGACTTTCCACCGCCCACGGACCCAATACAAGTCGCTGACAGATGGAACCCATACTGACAACACACAGAAACGAGAAGAGGCCCGCATCGCACAGGAGCGCAAGGAGAAGAAGTGGCAAAAGGACCACGCATACGATGAAATCTTCACCGAGGAGAACATGGAGGCGACGAGCAATCAGAACCGCGCCGCCGACTGGGAAGACGACTTTATGTAAAAGGTCTGCGTGCGTATCTTTTTTTCGTGCCCGCGTTAGCTCATCTGCTAGCAGAGAAATCAAAAAAGGAAGAGAAACACAATCGGTGAAGAGGTGCAAATGACGCCGCAGACACATCATGTCCCACACTCGTGCCAACAGCCCAGCAGCCCAGCAGGGTCTCTCCTGTTGACATACATACCCCCGTGGAACCATGGAACCAGCGTGATCTATCAACACCACATGATCGGAGATGGCCCCAGCCAAAATGGTCCGCAGAGCCTCAACCACAAAGTCCTGAACCTTGCGGAGAAAGCTTTTTCGGAAATGCGACTGCCTAGTCTACCTACCGCCCTGCCCAGACTATATAACCGTGACCGCCCCCCCTCCCTTCCAATTCATTTTTTTCTCTCTCCTCAACATACCGACTTCATCCTTTCCACCCTGCCACCTCCAGGCTGCTTCGTCTGCTACTCTCGGTCACCGCCACGGTGGCCGAGACGCAGAGATGCTAGCCTGGGCGGGTCGGTTGCAATGAGCAACCCCCGGGGCCGGCCTTGCTGCGTTTGAGTCTACCGCGACAGCAGCAGCGATGCCGGCCCATCCACGGCTGGCGATGGTGATGGCAACGGGGCCCATCAATCAAACAACACACAACCGAAGCAGCCTACCCGACCAGCCATCGCCAGAAATCTCAACTATCCAAACCAACCCAAACAAAAACAAGCAAATCAACACAGTCAGACGATTCAAACAACTCGGAGAAGAAAAGGGAAAAACATCAGATTCTATCAGAGGTCACCACACCAAAAGAAAAAAACCCCACACCAACACGATGACTCAATTCTGCCATCGAGGTCGTCGAAAACCTTGCGCCTTGAGTCACACTGAAGTCAAAAATGCCTTCTAACCGACAAGCCTCCCCTCCTGCTACAAAACTACAGCCCAAACACCATACACCGCCATAGCCCTCGCATATTAGTCCAACAACAGCCCGAGCGGTATGCTCGTCTACTTCACCTCCTCCAAATCGATCGGCTGCTCGGATTCCTGTCAGCAACAACAAGGCTAGGTCTCAAAGACCTAGCTGCCGTCATGTGCCTGTTGGCAGGCCTCCAATACCAGGATACCTTCCAATACCAGGATACCTCTGAGCGTGTGGGACGCTTGTGAGGTTTACGCAAGGATATACCTGAAAGCCAGCCTTGCTGGCCGTGGCCAGATATACAAAAGGCGGCTGAAGGTGTCTCTGGTCTCATCCCTTTCCTTCCAACCCATCCATCTTCGCCAACACACGTATAAATAACACCAATTATTCCTCAAAAATGCCATCAACTGCTCAGAACCCCTAGGAAATCCCCCAGCCCTCAGACCACTACGCGCCAGATACGGCGTGTTTTGAGGCCATGGGACCTCGTGCAGAGGCCCTTGGCCTCCAGGCCGTCAAGAGGGCAACCCCCTTCGGCAGGCTGCCCGATAACCTCAAGAGAAATGTGGCCATCTTTGGCCTTGAGCTTCTGGCCAAAGATGCTCACTTCACGTGCCTTCCGGATATCAAGAGCACGATCGAGAAGATCAAGGCCTCCGGGTCATCATCAATAGAGAGTTTGACTCTCTTGCCCTCTCTGAAAGGAGTATTGTCGGCGTCTTTGGCCTGGGGCTTCTGGCCAAAGACCAGCCCAGCGATGACGTACGGCAAGACGCTCACTTTGCGTTTCTCGGGCGCATCAATAACCAGTCTCCTCCCTCTCCATCAACATTTCATCATCAAACACTACCACACGCAAACATAACAATACACCACACTCCAAAACCCGTGGAAGATCACGCAGCCGCGCGATCACCATGCGCCATCTAAATCCTTTGCAGGCGACTTAGATGTGCGAAAGGGTCCTGTAAGCAGTAGAGTAGCCTTGTTGTTACGATCTGCTGAGAGTAAGCCCTCCTTCGCCTCGATTTTCCCATGACCTACAGCGGCCGGCGGCCGCGCGATCACCATGCGCCATCTACGGCGTGTTTTGAAGCACTTGTTTCCATCGCTCACCATGCACATCACCAGCCCCAATCCGTGGGGCCTTCCCCAGCCCGAGGGCCACTCTGCCCCTCGGGCAGCCTACCGCGACTTCATTAGAACCGGCCGTCAGGCCGAAACTCTTGGCCTCCGGGCCATCATCAATAGAGAGTTTGACTCTCTTGCCCTCTCTGAAAGGAAGGCTGTCGGAATCTTTGGCCTAGAGCTTCTGGCCAAAGACCAGCCCTGCCTTGAAGCACGGCAAAAGATCTTGGGACTCAGGACCCAGCCGGAATTCATCGACCGGCTGGAACGTCCTCGCTTAGAGGACATCCCGTATTATGCCGACGTCATAAAAGCGGCAGCCGAGGCCATCGAGGCCATGGACCAGTACCAGAGGATGGCTGCGAATTCCTCGCAAGGCCCCTTCTTGAAAGTCCTCGCTTAGAGGACCTCCCGTATTATGCCGAAGTCACATCCAAAAACCTCATTACCTCAACAGGCTGGAAAGATTCGCAGCCACAACCACATATACAACGAGAGAGTACATCGGACTCCTCATACTAGCAGCAGAGATCCATCTGATCCGTCCATCATCTCACCATCTTCCTCTTTACCAAAATGGAATCCAAAGTCGCCCTGCTGCCGTCGATGGCACTGTTGAATCTACCATCAAGGTCGTGATGGCGACGGGGTGACCAACTTGCAAGCCACGCGATGACTCCGAACTCTGCCACCAAGGTCGTCGTCGAAAACCTTGCGCCGTGAGTCACACTGAATACTGACGACAGTACCGGAGATAGCTTCGCTCGCCAGCGACCTTGCTGGCCGTAGCCAGATATACAAAAGGCGGAAGCTGTCCCTGGGCTCGTCCTCCTTCCATCTCATCCATCAACAATCCACCGTCATAATGCCCACTACACGGGCTACACCCCTTAACCCGTGGAAGATCACGCAGCCGCGTGACCACTACGCGCCATTTACGGCGTGTTTTGAAGCGCTTGGCAAGCGCGCTGAAGCCCTCGGCCTCCAGGC